CAAGAAAGTTGTGGATACACCAACCCATGAGTATTCAAAGCCAGGTCAGATAAAGCCTTGAGCAACTTGGTCTAGTGGGAGGTGTCCCTGCCTATGACGGAGTGGGTTGGGACTAGATGATCTTTAAGGTCCATTCCAACCCCTTCACATTCTATGATTCTGTCTCAAACAGTACAAACTGTAAAGGAAAAACAGAGTACCAAGAAATAGGAAACTAAAGAACTCAAAAGGTAAAATATGTTAATATTTCATAAAGATTAAGAAAAATTACCTATTCCTCATAGATGGTGCCATAGTAACATTTCCTTCAGATGAATGATTTCTTAAAGAACAAAGTGATTACTACTTCAAAAGTAGGAATTATAAATATCTATTTTATAATGCTATTAAACAATATATGTGGAAGACTACACAGTAGCTTTGTAGATTGATTCTAGAAAAGCATGTCAATACCTTCAGATGTCAATACCTTCAGAAAGAGAGATCTGTAATCATATTAGCTAGGAATGAAGCCCAGAATTATGAGCTTCACCACAGTGCATTCTAATTCATTGAAAATCACTTTTTTCTGCTATCTCCCTGAACCTTTGAAAATTAACAGACTTCATGATGTGCCAAAAGTCTTCAGCTCTATTTATTTCAAGTTTCACTGTATTAATTCCTTAGTATTTCCCTCATTAGCATAATCACATCTTCCTATTTCCCCCTCCTCTTCCTAAAAGATAATCAGTCTCTGAAGTGTTCCTCAGTAACCTGAAGAAAGGTAACATTAATGGAGAGAACAGAAACAGTACAAACTATAAAATAAAAGTGTTTGATGAAACTAATAGAAAAAAATTCCAGTCATTGTTTTTGAAATATGGAGCAAGCTCTACATGCTTTTTAAATTTTTAGATTCAATAAATAAATTTGAAGCCCACAACATCACCCACATGTAAACAGCCCAACCTCAGGGGAAAAGCATCAATTGCTTGGCAGGTTAGTTTCAGACACACTGGTATTCACAAAGTCTGACAAGGACCTCCTCTAGGGGAAGAATAGCGAGATCATGAATTATTTATGTGAACAGTGATAATCCCTAACTTTGTCGAAATATACATGGAATCAAGTTTTGATGACCTTTGGGTAGATTATTCAAATTGTGCAATAATAATGTGGTTCTTGCCAGTAAGCCTTTCCTTTTGTTTCTGTTTACATCTTGACATAATTTTCCAAATATAAATATACCAGAAAGAATACTTCCTTACACTTTTAATGGAAGTTTAAAATTTATTGTTTTGTCTGTCACTAATCCCTACTATTCTCATGAAACATAGCATTGCATACTTAATATTCAGAATCCAGTTACATGTATTTCATGTAGTGAGTGGGAGGCTATTGAATTATAAAAACATGTTCACAAGATCTTATAGCCAGCAGAAAATTTCTGGGAAAAAAAAAAATACACACTATCGACTTTGAAATGTTTCTGATTGGCCAAAATTTTGCAAAACCCACACTATGGTTTCTAATAGAACCCTATCTGAATTCCTATCCTTTTCACCTTCATCTTAAGGAATCTGAAAACAACACATTAACTGGAGCAGCCAGCTGTTAAGTCCATCTCTATTTCTTGGAATTCTTCATCAGTGCAGCGAGAACTTCACTCCATGAAATTTCAATTGGCAGTTTACATGCATGTTGTAATTAAAGATGATTATGACCTAATTTTGTGGCTCAGGAGTTAAGTAACTCCTAAGGCAGGAAAACAAGGTTTGCATAAAATTATTGTTATGAATGCAAAACTGATGGTAGAAAGTATTTTGAAAGAAAGTTCTTTGAACCAAACCTTTCTTAGAAATTATTTGCAAAGCTTAATATTAGATCTTAAGTATTACACCCTCTTCTAATGTTAATAATTCCACTTTATTCACTCATAAAGCTCTGACAATTACCTAGATATGTGTGTGTAATATCTGCAGTTGGAAAACTATTCTTAATTAGACTATCTGGTATTCTCAGTAATTAAAACCATAGTCATAGTCAACATTTTAAGTGCCTTATTTAGTCTTGAACAGTACCAAAATCTCACAAGTAATTGCTAGGATGATTTTCACAGTAACTGTTTTGCAGTCTTAACAGTGCTAAACATTTGAGTAATCTTCAAAAAAACCCAGAAAAAACAACAGATATAGCAGATCTAGGTATAGCTAAGTATTAAGCAACAACCTAATTACTCAATAAATATTTTTGGATTAAAAAGATAAAAGCTTTTCTGCAAAAGCCAATTAAAAAAACCCAAAAAAACAAACAAACCCAAAAAACCCTCAAATAAAACACAGGGTTTTACTATGTTTTTCTTATCTCCCATATAAAGGAAATTGGCAGTTCCCTTCATCAGGTCTTATACTGAAAAAAAGTGAAAGGAATAGGAAGAAAAGTTGCTGTGTCACTGCTGCAAGACAGGAACTGCCATAACCGATGAGCCCCCTCAGTGGTCATCTTAGCAGTTTTGTCTCAGAAGTCTCTGGTATTGCCTAAAGACAAAGCCCTGTACAACCTTCATTCATTCTGGCAAACAGCTGAATGACAAGTTGTTTCTTCAATGCAGAACTCTGCAGCTTTTGTAAACCTATTACATTTCAAGGCATCATAAGTCCTACAGAGATTTGATTCATCATTTGGTTAAACCCACTATCTTCTTGATGGTTTATATGGTGCTGATGTGACTTGTAATTAAAAAAAAATCCTCCAAATTGTGTCTCCCAGTCATTCCAATGGTTTTGAAATCTCAGTCATTTCTGCAGCCTAAAAAGTGTTATTAAAGCAATTAATTCCTAAGCAGTGTATATATACTTACATATATATAAGAGTATATATATACACTCTTATATTTAAGAGTGTCTTGTAGTAGTTGAGTTCACCAGGGTAACTAAGCATGGCATAAAAAAAAATTTCCTTCTACCAATAGTAGATGTGTTCCATTCCAGCTTAACGCTCCCTGATCTTAACAGCAGAAGGAAAGAAAAGTAAAGAAAGAAGAGTGCATTGACTTCACATCAGGTATTACTTTGTACGCTCTCTCCATTGCTCATTCTTTGCTAGTTTAATCTCATATGCATATACCCTTATATAGTTTTTCCAGGACCTGTTTCACAATTTCCCTCTAGACTCTATGATTTTGTACTACTCTTGGCTGCTGTGTAAGATGAAAAGCAACGTATTTGCTTGGTTTTGGACTGATATTGTACACTTGATTCATTATGTCTTTCTTGTAGACTATGTAGACTACTACAAAATTCAGATTAATTATTAAATATGCAGTTAATTTAACTCAAGGTACAAGCAGAATTCAATTTAAGAGCATTTTAATTAAATAATATTAAAATTCAGTGTTACTAAAACAAGTACTACCAGTAATTAAAAACGAGTGTTAAAAAAATATGTCAGCCATAGACACTTGAGAAATTCTAAGCAATCAAAACTAATCAAATGTTGCTTCTCACAAAACTGAATGACAAATATGGGTTGCAAATGTTAGTAACAGTAGCTGGTGTACATAAAAGTACTGTAATACAGTAAATTTACTAAATTCCTACCAGACTAAAATACAAAAATCCATATGGATAACAATGACCAAGTCTAATAAAAATAAGTATACCAGCACTTCTTTCTCTTTTAATCCAGGTATGGGTGAAACTGGGTGATTTCAAAAGCATCCTCTCGGATATCCTCCTTGCCTCTAGCCATGCAGACAATATACTAAAGAAATCTTCAGTAAAGTATTTTTCCTATATTTATTCCAGTCTGCCTTTACAGAAGTATCTGTAAGTAGTACACCCTTGTATTTCCTGGACAATGGTTTGCCTAGGAATTTCTCAGCTACAAAGAAGTAAAGGATAGTTCAGATTAATTACTACTACTCAGTGTAGTGATTAATTCCATTTTTCAAGGAACAAAACACTTAGTAATTTGATTTATACAGTTGGCTTCAAAAGACAGCTGGCTTCAACAAGATTGCCAGGTGAGCAATCTTTGCTCAATAATTTATTAAATGCTACCTCTCTATGTTCACCTACTAAAAACAGAAGCTGCACAAAAAAGGTCAATTGAAACAGTATTGAGTGTTTCAACCTTGAACACTGCAATGTCTTTTCCAGCCTAAATAATTCTGATTGTATACACTGTGGAGCAAAGATTAAATGCATCTTTTGGGGACTTCTCAAATGATGAGAAGACTTGTTAGAGTCTTACAAATCAGACAAAAAATATTAGATTCACTTTTAGTAAAGCACATGGAAAAGTCAAATAATTTGAAAGAAATCTGAACAACACTTTTAAAGTAGTTGTGTTAGTACCATTTTAGTAAATGAAAATGAACAGTTGTGGAAAGTATACTTATTAAGGATAGAAACATTTTGAAATAAAAATTTCTTAAATTCTAACAGTTGTTGAACTAATTTTTAAGTACTTTTTTGTCCTAGAAGGTATCCCATGTTTTAAGACAACTATCAGTCTTATTTCACAGAAGGGAAGCATAAGCATGCAAAATCTCTAATCCCCTGAAGAATTGAGAGTCAACTGGCCTGCTTTGCATATAGTGGAATCTTTAAAATCCAGGGGAAAAAAACCCCAATCCATAAAAATCAAATGTCTATTTTTTTTTTTTCCTGGACTAAAAAGCGGGTCCTGTTTCTTTTTCTTCTGTACATTCTGACTAACAAAAATCACAGAAACAGGAATGCTTACACACACATAACTCCTGTAAACTTGGAGTCAGTGGGAGATTTGCCATCCATTAGTATGGTGGAAGCAAGCAGAATATTTAATTGCCACATAATGGAACAGCTGATTCCACACAAGATAAATATTAAACTTCTGCTGAAAATATACCTGCTTGCCTGGAATGACATCTACACATAAGATTTTTTTACAAAAAAGATCAAAACTTAATACAGTCCGTGTGGCATACAAAAGGCACCTACCTCTACTTACAGAATTCTTCTTTCTCAAATTATTACCTTATCTAGTGTCATAAAACCTTCCCCTGCTTCTGTTGGTTCTTCTGGTAGGAGAGGAGCAGAATCTGGTATTAATCCTGAAGGCTGCTCTTCATATTCTTCTGAAAAGAGGAACCATAATTCGCCATTATTAGAGCTACGAAAGAATTTGTGAACCACCATGACATTACATTCCAAAACGAGGATGTGAAGAAAAACAGGTAAAAAAATGTTTAAAGGCAAATGTTGTATGAGAATTTATGAAAACTCTTCCCATAAACCTTTATTTATACCAGCAAGTTTAGATTTAAATGTGATTTATATATTGATTACTGTATAAAAGCATTCAAACATTTACCTAAGAACGAAGTCCATACTGTTAGGAAGTAGCGGATACTTAACAAATGTATCTTACATATTTTTTTGATTCACTAAGATGATCATCAACTGCAATAGCAAATTATTTACCAGAGATTTTTTTTTTTTTCCACAATTGGACAAGTGCCTCAAAAATTTCATTTAGGTTTTGTCTTTGTTTTTCAGAATGCTTTTTTAAGGCCCTCACAGAAGACTCTTCTTTCAGACTTCTCTCCGGGTTATCTTACAAGGAGGAACAGCAGGGAAAAATGCACAAGATGTACAAGGAGAGGACAATAGGGAAGGGCATAGTAAATCTAACTTTAATTGACCCCATGAAGTGAGCACAGTGTTATGTGCAAGTGTTTTTTTAGGAAAGAGGCTTAAATACTAGATTGCACTTTAAAGATGTAGGGAGGAACTAAAAAATGGGGGAAACCACCTTGAGAAATGTTGGTTAAAAATATTTCTAAATACCAGTATAACTGATAGTTTGATAGTTTAGGAAGGCAAATGAATTTCTTGTAGTGTTCAACCACATGCCGTGTCCACAAGCTGAATATTTACATCAGCACACTGAGCATCTTTACAGCAGTGGACTAAGTAGGACGCTTCCTATATTATTTGTTCAAATTCATCTAGGTTTGTCTGTATCAGTTTAATCAAAAATATTTTAATGAAAAGGACCTGGTAGCAACTTCAATGCTCAGATGTGAGATTTAACCATTATTGTTCTTTTAAAACTTCATACTGAAATTCAGATATTTGGGAACTGAACATTCTCCATTAGAGCAGGGGGAAAATTAAAGGTTTGTACAAAAGCTAGATTTAATGGAAACTGCCTAACAAAAAAGCCCAAGATGTTTGTGAAATGCTCTGTTGTGCCCTAAAACATTGCCAAGCTGGGGCCTGAATTAGGTGGCTCTGTGTTAAAAGAGACAAGGGATCAATCCAGTTGACAGATAATTAAGTCAGTAATAAGCTGACTTATTCCATAAGCTGAAAGTGCAATGGTTAGCTAACTTAATACAATTTTTGCACCACAATAAGTCATCATTATGCCACATGTGTACTACATAAATTCCTATCTTCAGAACAATAAGCAGAACAGCACGGTAAAATCTTGGCGCATCAGTTAAACCCATACCGGTATACCAGGAAGACAGCAGTAAACTTACTTTCACCAGCCACATAATTAGCTGGAAAATAGCCTTGCTGTCCATTTGCTAGGCTGCCAAACCACCAGTTATCATTATCTTTGTATAACACTTGGATAATGTCACTGCGATGGATGGTTAGCTCATCTGATCGATGCGCTGTGTAGTCATAAAGAGCCACTACCTAAAAGAGAGATAAGAACACCACAGCTTTATCACAACCATGCCACAGAGAAAAAAGCGCAACATTCACTTCCTCTTGCAGAAAAGCAGCTGAAACCAAAGCTGCACTTTGGTAAAAGCTGAGGCTGCCTTAAGTTTTGCTAATGGGATCAGGGGTGGTGGGAAAGCAGCAGGAGAGGCAAGATAAAGGACTGTGGGATTGCAGAAATGGTTAAGAACATTCAATTCACTAAGATTAGCTTCAAAACAGCAGCTGTTAGTTTTATAAGCAATTTGCTTGTGAAGCAAAAGGGAAAAAAAACCTTCACACAGTCATTTTCTCAGAATTGTTACACCACCTTCAGATCCCATTCTCTGTGTGCTCATGAAGCATATGTGTTTGAATAAATACTTCAACAGTATGACAGCTTTATCCAAGGAAAAATTTAATACAAAAAGACATTTCAAAGTTTTGCTTTGATCACTCCATTTTTAATTTTTTCTTTTCTATTTTTCATTTGTTTTGTTTAGCAATAAGCATTTGGATATACAATTTTATAAATATCTGCAAAAATACATTTATATTCCATTTCACATAATAAAACTATTTGACAGTGAAATTTAGCACAGCTATAGTTTTATGAAAAAAAGTACTAACAGTTATCAGGACCATGGATACTACATATAATAAACTACTGGAAGCCTGCTTTTTACCTGAATATGAAAATATCAGGTACAGTTTCTTATTTATTTCCTATGACCAATGAATAAAAAAATCTGTCCTAGTGAACTCTGAGCAGAGAAGCATGAAAGGAAAGCAAATGAACTGAAAGAATAACGAATTGCTCACTTCCCTCATCATAAGTGAAGAGCAAAATTATGACCTATTTTACAAACAGAATGCTGCTTCCCTACCTACAGTCTTCACCTCATATTCCTCTACTAAATTGTAAGTAGAGGTCAGAAACAGGGATCATTAGGAGCAATAGGAGGGGTAACAGGATTGAAGGAGACAGGATAGGATAATGCTAGGGATAGGAAAAAAATCCTTCTTTTTTTATTACTCATGCATGCATTTAAATTTTAAGACTGCTGAATTCCACAGTGCTATTTATATTTGTGTTTCTGTTTTGAGCAAGATCACTTGCAAGTTGCGTGTGTAAAAATATAGCCAATGTCACTTGTATTTTCATAATTCCATGTCACAAATTAAATAGATTAAATCAGTTATGAATGGGAAAAGATGGAAGTGATTCTACCATTGTAAATTTTATGTGTCGCTTTGTAAGCTGGTCAGCACCAAAGAATTAGTATCAGCATAGTTTACAGCAGACAGGAAATTTACCTAAATATGCATTCAGTAGCCCTGAACCTTTTATATAAAGAAGCTAAACCATGAAATGTGTCATAACTCTCATTCCTGCATTAGGAAAGCCAACAGTAATTACAGGTGATGTTGGCAGTACAGAAATATGAACTATAGAACAGAACCAAACTAAACCACACTAATGAACACCATGCCCATGTCCAGTAAGAGGTGCTCTAACAGTGCCCACTTCAGGTAAGTGACATTCTCATAAAAACCATGAGGTCACTTAAGGTAAAAAAAACCCAAAACCCAAAAAGGAATGTAGGAATGCAACACTAATTATTTGGCAGCATGAAAAACAATGAAAGGCAGGAGCAAGAATTACATGGTTTTGCAGTGTCTTTTGCAAGATACTTCTGGTACAAATGTTCTGTTTTATAAAAAAAAATTACAAAAATTTAGTCTCGTGGAAACTGCCACAAACAGTTCAAACCAATCAAGCAAGTCCCCTGTCTGTCTCTCAGAAATAAGAAATTAATATACCAATGTGTACTATAATACAACTGGTTTAGTATGCCAATTTAAATAATGACAATTTAAATAAAATGTGGAAATTGCCATTATATTCTCTGTCAACATATGATCAGAAAAATTACCATAACAGGATATACGAAATGCATTTCAGAAACAAAGAAGAATGTAAACCACTCACAATTACACCCAAAGCAGTGCTCTTTCTGCTGGTGTAAAATTTAAAAATTTGTTATGTTCTACTTGGGTTAATGTCCAAGTAAAAAATAAAAAAAAACTATATTCAACAAAATTTAACAATATTGTTTTTCAAGACTGATGGAAACCCAGAAGTAATGTATTTACACAGTTATGAACATCTTTGTAAGAATTACAAAATCTATGGTAGAAAAAAAAAATGTCCTTGGGATCATGCTAAAAAAAGGCATGCTTTCAAAAGCAGATACAATATAACAGGTACAGAAGATATTGCAAAAAATTACATAATACTTACAGTCTCTTGCCCGGGTGGATAACTGTTTCCTCCTCCCACTCCCAGTGCAGTCAGGCTGTCATCATTCTAGAAGAATAAGTTGTTTTAAATTTTAATATGAAGCATTTTGCTAAACTATGATTGTATTTTCATTTCTCCTGTAAGACAGTAAGAATTATCTGCAACAAAATGCTTTTTTCAAAAAAGGAAAAGCAGAAGTGATGTTAAGCAACACTGAGTAATATTGGCTATTGGCTGGTAGATGTTTAGAAAAACATATTAAATTTTTCAAGTATGTACACCACACTAAAGAGACAACTGGACTTAAGACTGTGCAGTCCAAGCTTGTCTGCACTGTGAACACTACAGCAGATATTTAAGAAGTTGTTGCAGTGAACTTTACCTCTGAACCAGTATGCAAAAATGTCACTTCCATATAATGGAGAATTTTAGGTTGCTCTTAATAACCAGTACTTTAATTCTAATTGTTCTATCCTTACCCCTTGCTCTTCAGACTTTCAATTAATTCAAAAGAATAGTAGATATATATTGCAATAATCAGGAGAAGCCTGTACCTTAAAAAAAATTATTTCTGTAAAATAATCAAATCATCTAAATCCTAAAGAGGATTTAGAATAGAAAAATTATGACAATTAGGAGAGGAACAACAGACTAGGGAAAAAAAAAGGGAAGAGGTTGAAGTCCTTTGCTGGTGTTACTTAATTTTTTTTTTTCAGTGGTCTATCTTCACAAAGGGGAAACCAATTTCCCCTCAATTTTGTGAGCATCAAAGGATACACACTATTATACAGAATAGAAATATTACACAGCAATTAAAATATTTTAGAAGCATTAAATGTGTGCTTTGTGAAGTAAACACTTCAACCTCTAACAGATATACTGCATTATAACCATTTAAACCTGAAAATTTTAATCCAACATACTTCACCTCTTTCATATTTTACAGCCACTCTTTTATATATCTTTTGCACAAATTTCTTTCTCTTCTTCTGCTTTTAAAAAATCTATCTAAAATGTATTGTTCTTTTTATTTTCAGTGTTTGCGATTTTAAATTTTTTTTATTATGGTGGTCCAAAGAACATCATTACAAATTACAGAGAAAATCCTTGCGAATCCTCAGTAGAATAAATGCTATTCTTGAGAACAGGCACTCTTGCTCTCAGTGTGGTTTCCATAATTTAGCTGGGTTTATCCCATATGGGAAAGAAATCACTGACTCTCCTGAACTCCATCCAGCCTCCAGATTGTTTTGGTACTGCCACAGTAGTTATAGAGACACACAGCAGTTACAGATGAACTCTGTACAAAAGTGAACAGTTGCACTCAGTTCTTATAATCTACAAGAACATCTAAGCCTACTACCTAAAGAGTTCTGAATAATTATGTACATGCACAGAAGGGAAAAAAAAATGAAGTGCAACTGCCTGATTTGATAAACAAATTTTGAACAAAGACTGGTGGAGCTGCAGTTCAGAGTACACTGCTTGTTCAGTGGTCTATTGGTAGTCAGCACTGCTGTACAGGTTTTAGCTAATTCTCATTTTCCGTTCTCAAGGTTAAGAGAACAGTGCAGGCAATGTGCTTACCCTGTGGGATGGGAGTGCCTCCTGTTGCTCAAAAATGATTCATCAGAATTATTAGCAGCATTACTTAGGTATCTAGTTCAGGTACTCATATTGCCCCATTATTGTGTCTCAATCTGTCTCTCTCTCATTTTTTAATAAAGTATTTATGTGGCTCTCAAACACTCGGGAACAGCTCGAATAGAGCAAGCTGTGTGGAAATAACAAGCTAACATCTATGAGTCACCCTGAGACTATGCTGAATGTTCTCAGACACAGCCTTAAACTTTTAAGGCAACAACAATCCAAAAAGGTGCCTCTTGAAGAGGTGCTCCGAGTATGTCACCAGCTGCACACACCTCTACCTCCAGGTGTTAAGGGCAATTGCCATGGCTGCCTCCTCGAGTAGTGCCAAGCCATTCCTCAAATAGTGCCAAGTACCAGTTACACCACAAGAAACATCCAACAAAAACTAGTGGCCTTTCAGCTTAGAAGTATCATTTTTTAAATGCTGTGTCACAAGATTAAGGCATGTTTTCAGGATTTTGAAAAAGCAACAGGCATATTGAAGGGTATGAATACATGATTCTTAATACAATATTAATATCTCCCTTTTTCATGCAGGATGGAAACTATCTTATCCTTTTCCTGCACTGGTACAGACGTGGGGCTATAGCTTTGTCTTGAGGAGTTGGTCTTTTTGGGAGGCAGACCCTCTGTGAGAAAGAAACAAAATGCTTGCTGAAAAAGTGTGCCATGTCACACTGATTGAACAAAGCTGTTAGGAGCTTTCAGCATTAAGGAACATCCTCAGAGGAAGATAAATAGATCCATCAGCTGATGCAGAGTTCTGCACCATGGAGTATCACACTGGTTATCCATGACTAACCCACTTACTTAGATACATATCTTTGATGTTTCTAACTTAAAACCAAACAAAAATGTTTCAAGATGCTGATACAAAAGAGAACACTGCATGTGAGAGTAACCTGATATATTGTAACATCAAGTTTTATCAATTCCTGATAACAGCCCAAATTAAAATGTTTATGGCTTCTTTTTAATAGGTCAGTTTCAGTGACTGCTAAAATGGAAGTTTTGTGTTTTTGATGCAGATGTATAGTGGCATGTATACAGGATTTGGGCATCAGATAGATTTGGGCATCTCATTCCGTTAGGAGAAACAGCACTGAGAAAGAACAAATGATATCTTATTGCTGCCTTTTCTGCAAGAATGTCAGGATTCCATTTCTACTACTGAAGCAATATACTTCAATTACCACAATATCAAAATTAAAAAAAAAATTCATATAGTTTTATACGCTTCTTCCTTATATGTAAACATATTCATTGTAACACAATAAATATTCAGACTAAATACTACTTCTAATTAGCCATTAACTCTTCTTAATAACAACACTTGGAAAATAAGCTGTTCTAAGATTAATTTTAGGCAGACCCTACACATAGCAGGGTGAACTTCAGTGTGTATGCATGGATGGCCAAAGTCATGCTTCCTCCTTTTCCCATCAGTGACAGACACAGGGACATGAAGAAGGACAAACATCTATTTCCTGGATGCTTCTCAGTAGCACTGCTTCCCTCCACTCAACCTCCCCCATACCTGCACACATAGTGTAAGAGAAACTGGGAATACTACTAATGCAAACACTCCAGAAAAGACACAAGGAATGTGTGTTACAACTTCTCTCATCTGTCCAGTAAATCTGAGCCTCAGTGTGTAAAAGCCAACATTCTGAGGCTGTTACCTTTAGCGGATTTCTTTTGTTGCTGCTTTTGGTTTTTGGTGGTTTCTTGATTAGTTTGGGTATTTTTTAAAGAGAAAGAATAAGAAATTAACTTCTAGAGCCTGATTGAAAACCCTTGATTGGCTTAAAAGTTAATATGCAAAACATTTAAAAATTATACAGAATAAATCTGAGATTTCACTGTTGCTCCATTGTCTTTTTCCTTAATATCCAAAAGGTTAGAGATTTAATTGTCTCCTCCCCTAAGAACGCTATGTAGTCTATTTACTCTTTACTAAGTGAAGTTTTAAACTCAATGCTATGTAAGATGAGACTTAGAAGAAAACAGATGGATACTGTTAGCACGTCTGTATTTTGTTCTCATTCTCTGGTCCTAGCTCAGGACAACTAACTACAGATTTAGTCTATGGGAAACAGAAATACCAATACTAGTATTAATAGCTCAATTAAAATTAAAAAGTATCAACTGGCAAGAATGATAAACTCTTCTTCATTCATAATTAATCTGTCTGTAGACACTGTAAAGTTACTTCCTTAGGCTTCAGATGACTACAATCCTGATTTGATTAGAGCCCTTCAATGTTTAATAAGCATGGGAATCTATAATTTGCCTAGAGGAAGAAAGGACCAAAACTGCACCAGGCTGCACTTTATTGAAACCTGCAATGTACAAACAGAAATCAGAAATGCAAACGCAGCTGCTGCAGTTAAAACCTACAAGGATTAAAAAAAAAAAAAAAAAAAAAAAAAAAAGAGAGAGAGAAAAGAAAAAACAGAAAAAGACCAATTCAAAAACATGTGAAATACCCCAACTCTGGAAATGATTCAAAACCTCTTCCACTATTTCACCATTTCTAAAAATGCTAGGTTTTGATATTAATTATTTGGTTAACCTTATTTTATATATATTAATGCATTTACAATAGAAGTAGTAAAAAATATATTCAAAACCCTAAAGTTGATCCTGCAAATGTTTATCAAGCTTGCTGTGGTGGAGAACACTACAGAACTGGTTGAACAATATATATTTTTCCCTAAAAAATTTCATATTGATGGCTCAAAATTTGAAAACATGAAAACAGAAATCATTTAGCGACTAACACAACACCAACGTAAAACCACGCTTTCAACATTTCTTGGTGAATCCTATGTATCTTACAAGCTTGCCACAATTGTCTTAACAGATTCTGTTAAAAAATGTAGGTCCAAAAATCCTAAAGCAATCCAAACAAAACCCCAAACTGAAACTGTAAAACAGATATAAATGAGTTAAAAAGTTAATTTATGTCCATTTTTTACATTTCTCTCAAGAATTAAAATTAGTGCTAGTGCGATTACAACAGAATATTAAACCATGCCATTCTGTCCATGGGAGCAGAAGGATTAACATCTCCAGTACAACAGGCCCACAAATGTACTCAGTATTCAGAAGCACCACAGCTTCTTTCTTCACTAGTTTCTCCATACATTTTGTATTTACTACTACATCATCAAATGTATAGTTGCAATTAATGGCAGATTAATGACAGATACTGTTGGATTTTTATTATGGTGATCAGGAAACCAGAAATAAATGAAATAACAAGTATAATTAGGAGAAACTTACAATCAATATTTAAGAGATAAGCAATTAAGTAAACAGAGGATAGCTGTGATTTAACTTGTTACAAAAAGATGAAGTATGACAAAACAATGAAAACATGGTGCTACAATGAGAATTTAATTCCAAGTTACTGTCTTTGCTTTTCTCTCAGCTACTCATCAATGCCTGTTTTTTTAGTAAAAACAAAAAACACACAAGTGTGATTTTATTTATTTATTTATTTCTACCCAACAAAAATTAAGTAATGAGAAAATATAAAGCTTTTGATTCGCAGATATCTGATCTCACTACCAGCTGGTCACAGCATAAGCTAATTTGGCCATGTAGACAATTGGTTTGAAGATACCTCTTTTTTGAATAAAGAAAGGATAAAAAACACTCTCTACAATGAGAACTTGTGAACAGTGACATTTTATAGTTAAACATCAATTTAAAAAAAAAATGCAAAGAGAGAATTCCTTACCTTCTGTAGTCTATCCAATAGTGTTCGACTAAGAGGATTTCCTACTGGGCTGAAGCACCCTGTGAAAAGAAAAAGCTGTGAATTTTCTGCTTGTTATCCTTTTCCATCGAATAAACCATTTTATTTTAAAATCATTATGTTAGCAGGGTATGTTTGACAAAATTCTAATGAAAAGCAGCAGCATCTTTCAGTCACAACTATGCATCCTTTAGTCAGGAACAGTTGGAGGGTTTATTTAACTAACAGACCTGACACAAGGTTAACTAATCCAATATTTCCATTCAAATGATTTGGAGAAGTAGCTCAAGCTATGTCCACATGCCACCTCGTGCTCAAAGCTGACACTATTATCTAGGCTGTATTGCTTTTCTCTTCATTGAAATTCCAAGTAATGCATACAAAGTTTTCCAACAGAAATGATCACAAAAACTCACAAAGGAATTACTTCCTTATTTTATCTGAAAGAATAACTATTCCTATTCAGAGGTTCCCTTTGATCATCTGAGTTCCTATCACAACACATCTTGCTGTTTATTTTATTCACTCTCTACACAGCACACTTGAACAAGTACTTGTAAATTCTTTTCTTTTCAGACTATTATGTTAACTACTAAGCTCAGGAAAATCCTTTCATCATCTATGGATTTATCTTTTTGTTATTGGTCTCCTCAGCTGTATACTTAAGAAAACATCTTAAAAAGAAAAGATACAAAAAAATCGGAAAATCGTTGAACATGACAGTGAAAAATGCTACTGCTTCACTGGAGAACAGTTTCTCAAGTACAGAAATGCCAGGCAACACAGAGTTAAGCTCACTAGATTTTCTCTGTGAGACACTAGCTTTGAAGCAAATTTTGTTTTTAAAGAAAAGTATGTTGTGAAAACTCATTTTCATTTGCCACACCAAAAACCTGCTTTTGAGGAGTCCAGTATCCGAATAAAGAGGACTTTTCAGATTCAGATTCCCATGTACTGGAAGAGCTCCACAAGGAAACTTGCACAACTCCACCTACAGTATATTTTCTAAAGCCTAGTGGTTTTGACTTTCACAGGAGATTTACTCATAAATGTTTAATCATTAAGATATTTAGATATTTCTAACTAGAATAAAAGCTGCAAGCTCAAGTAACTGTAGTTAAGCCATGTTCCTGCAAATCTGCATGTGATTAATCTACTTGTGAGAAATCCTAAATACATGCAATAATGGATTATTCAACTTCATATATGAATTAAAAACATTTTGATCTTTATATCTAGAAAAATCTTGTATAAATTCAGGAATACTTTATTTTGAAAGGCTTACTTTGCTTTTATTACTTTTTGTCACCTCTTTTAAGAAGAAGAGATGAGCATGTAAACCACTTTCTGAATTCAATCCATACTTAAAGACAGTAATCCTGAAGGCAAACTTTTGTCAAATAAGCTATTTGCTAAAACAGTTTTTCAGCACATACCACAAGTCAGTGGAGATATTACTCCTATTAATATTGTTATCTACACACTCACAAAGTCAGAAAATCAGATGCTACAGAGATTATATTACATGTGGATATACTATCACATACACATGTTGTATCAAGTCTTCGAAGAAAAAACAAACAAACTAAAACCCAACAAAATGTCTGCATGATAAAAAAAAATTTTTTTAGACAGCCAATTTGAGCATGGGAGTGTTATGCCAACTCAAAACATTCAAACCCATGCTAAGATAAAAGACACATAAAATATTTGATAAAAACAATTGTTTGTCTGGAAAAATATTCAAGTTTTAATTAAAAACAACATTAATCTGCATTTTTATCTGTAACATCATTGACCTTCATATTTTTCTAAGGAAAACATGCATTACTTCCAAGTGCTCCTGGACTGTACGTTTATGCACGTCAGTATTCCTGTGCAGCCTCTATATTCAGCTGCTTATCAGGCAAAAACTCTATGGTTAGACTGATATTCCCAATTACACCCCATTAAAGGGCAGCGCAGACCTGCTATGCTGCAAGTGTAGGACAACAGATGTGTTACTCAAAGATATAAGGAGCACTGTATGGAATTCTAGAAGCTGGCACTGGTTCAGACTCAGTGTTTTCCATGACTAGAGACAAAACAAACAGAAAATTCTTACGACTTTGCCTGAGGTATAAACAGACCACAGCACACCTGGGCACAAATATTCTACAATCATGCCTATTGGTTACCCCAAAGTAGACTTTACTGTTCTCTGTTACTTGTTTTTAATTATCAAGCATCCCTTTTTGTAGCCCCTACATTCAAAACAGTCATATTAAAAACTGCCAAGCAAACAAAACAAACCCACACCACCAACAAAAAAACCTGTTCAACTCTTCCTCATTCACAAAACAAGCTCCATTCAGCAGGCAAGGGAATATCCATCCCTTCTTCCCCAAATAAAGCAGTAGAATTTTTAAGCAATGTTCCACAGCTATGGGCTTGATATGGTTCCATGCTTGATGAAGCATGTAAATGACATCAAGCAGGTGTGACTAACAGCCTCAGCAAAGCTTGCTTTGCTTCTCCCTCATCCAGGCTGTGCATGCTTTTTAAGTACTATATTGAAACTGAGGTCTGCATTCCAGAAGGACATTTCCACTTGATCTAAAACTTAAGTATACAGGACACCGTGACCTGCTGGGACTCTCACTTAGTCTGAGCTTATAGAAAGGTCATTAAATCCCTTGTAAGGGCAAGTCCAAAACAACCCCAACACCCAGGGTAATCTGGACTGTTCTATCTTAAGGTTGCCTCAGAATCACTAATGGAGAAGCATTTTTATTGATGCAGATGTTTTACATGTACTCTCCAACAATCTTCTTTTTTGTCTGCTGTCTTCACATGCAAAATCATATCCTGAGAAGCTAATCTTTCCAATGAAAGTATCAATATTTGACTTACTGCATTTCCTATTACTCTGCATTGATTCTTCAGTGGTTTCCTTTACATGGAATTTTACATGAGAAGAACATACTACTTCTATGAGAACTTATTGCTAATGTCTAGCTGCAAATCAGGCATCTCAAAACAATAGATGCTAATCTTTTACCTCAAATGATCAGAATTTTCACATCCACACAATTTAACAGCAGAACAGCTCATCTTTAGGGTTCACGTAACTCTATTGTTACAATTACATCGTGAGCCTGTCAAAGAACTGGTTTGAAAAACAGCATATCTGTCTGCCTTGAGAGAAGGCAAACTCTGGTAGCTTCCTGTACAATTTGAACAGAGAACTGAAAGAGTACCCTCAGGTCCCCTTGGTCACTTCTGGCAATTTATTCTTTGCCAGTATAACTGCAGCCCAAGAGGAAAGAAGACAGAAGCTAGGCAGTTGTCCTGCCCAAAATGTGTGTGTAATACCAAGTCCCCAGTCTTACTGCATGCTTTCACTGAAAAGCTACCCTCTGCTCAAATTCCAAGCAGTTGAACTGAAATGCACAAAGTAGATGAGTTCACTACCAAATAGACTTGACTTGCATAGCAGCAGCAGTGCTCCAGAATAGTACTGGTAATAATTAAGAACACTTCCTTTTAAATAACATCTTTAGTGATTTTGTTTTAAACTAATAACATAAGAGGCAGAATAGAGAAGAAAGTCTTTCTAGGCAGTCACATAGTCCACTATTATCCTACTGGACTGTCTATAACCACCCAATGTGAGATGTTTTTGCCAAAAAATGCTGTTTTAAAAAAGGCCAAAAGAACATTCATTACAGAAGAACTCCTGTTTTAATGAACTTTTCAAAAAAAGGCTTTTTCTTACTTTCTGAAATGTTCTTGATAAATTAATTTTGTAATTACTAAAGGTATTTGAGTAAAATAAATCTCTAAGGCTTCTAGTCACATAGATCTACAGCTAACGGAATCATCCAAAAGTTCATCCTGGAAAATCCCTAGAAAATCACAGAGCAAAGATATATCTAAGAAAACTGAAATATGATAATATTCAGACATTTCTGTGACAAAAACCTCTAAAGCATGTAGAGAGAGAAAAAAATCTTACCTACTCTAGTCACACACTATTCTGTTTTTAACTAAGTTTTACTTTAGGTTTATACTAATTGCTAATGTCTCAAAACCCATAAAAAATCCTGGAAGACATGAAAATAAACAATGCCTCTAGGAAATGGTATTTCTTATTGCAGGCATTCTTACACATTATATCATGGTCTCATGGTCTCTTGTAACACATGTAGTTAAAATACACCCAATTAAATAACAAACACTGGGAAAAAAAGTCAATCTAGACATGAGATGAATATATGTAGATCAGCTCATTCCTCTTCCTACTCATCTTCTGTGGCTTTAAAACTGTTTCCAGTGATGAGAATCATATTTTCAGCACAGTCACCTAGTGTAGTGTGACCAAACAATCTTTTAGTATGCAATATAATCTCTACTTTAAATTCCAAGGGAAAGTTTTGAGGTTTTTAAAGTAAAAGCTTTCAGCTATTTCTGAAATTTCATTTTTCAAACAGTGTATAATGTAAGAGAATGAAGATAATTTTGTAATGATCTAAATATATATTAATCTTCCTTCAAAGACTTTATCCTCTTACTCTTATTAGAGTGTAAACCAATTATGCTCTAATAAATAAAAGAGAATTAATTATATAAAAAGACTGTTTATATATTGGGTAAGAACCTGTTTTCCTTTATTTAAACACATGATCACAAATACATTTAAAACCCACAACAAACATTTTCAGATGCAGTTCACACAAAATGAAAGGAGTGGATACTTAACATAAGCATACCTTTCCATTTAACCAGCAAAGCAGATGTTTCACTAAAATCCATTGCTTTAGGTGAAAACCCACTTCCAACTCTGTTCTACATAATTTAGTGTAGCACCTATGAGTTTAAAGATATTTCAGACTGAACAGCAGAATTGATAGGACCAAAGTGTATTGAAAACTGTTTCAGTGAAGTTTAATCTGTATGATAGTGACAGGACAAGAAGAAACGTTCTCAACTGCATTAAGGGAGGCTCAGGGTAGACATCAGGAAGAATTTGTTCATGGAAGGGGTTGTTAAGAATTGGAAT